ATATTTTGATAGAATGGGTGCCTCTAACTTAGCAGACACAAAGCTGAACTTTTCAGTTCCCTCTCCTGCTCCACACAACTCCTTCCTCCCAGGGCCTCTCTGCTATAGAAAGCAGCAGCTGTGCTCCTACACACCATATCCAGGCCTTCAGCAAATCCCGTCAAGTCTATTCTGAGATATACGTCCTGAGTCTAATCCCTTTTTCCCACTTTTGCTGCCCCCATGCTATGTTATTACAGCCCAGCAGAATTTGTAATAATTTCTTTTTTTGTTATATTTTATTAGTGAACATTAATATTACATATGTTGGAGCTTGTTTTGGAAAGTTCCTACATGGATTTAACCTATCAGCCAATTTCAGTTCCATTTCTCCCTTCTTATCTTTTCCTCTGCTTCTCCCCTTCCTTGTCTCCAGAAGTCTACCTCCTGGTTTTCCATCCTCTCTCTTTTATTTTAATTACTTATTAATTTAACTTTTTAATTTTTGATATATGAGGAAATATGCAATATTTAACTTTCTGAGTCTGGCTAACTTCACTTAACCTGATGGTTTCTACTTTCACCCATTTCCCTGCAAATGCATGATTTCATTCCTGTTTAAAGCTAACAGTGCATTGTGTGCATATATCACACTTTCTTTATTCATGCATGTGTCAATGGACATGTAGGGCAATCATTTCTTAAATAGTCACCCTGTAAAATATTCTTTCCTTCCTGCAGACTAAATTACATAATATCACCAAAGATGTCTTTAAAATAGAAGTCAGAACACAGCTTCTTGTCTCACAAGGCTTCTGATAATTTCCAACTCATCCGGATGGACACCTGAAGTCCTCACTTCTTGCAACCCACATGCCTGGCCCATTCTACTTCTGTCCCTTAGACAGCTGCCCATTCTACTACAACCCTACTGTTTCTTGTTCATCCTCATTTTCTCTGGGGAGCTCCACCTCAGAGTCTCTGAATGTACACTCCCTGTGGCCAGAGACAGCCTTTCTTCAGATTGCTACACAACTCCTCTTTCCTTGCATTTAGCTCTCAGCTTCAACTTTATTTTTCAGAAAGGCGAATTTTTGTGGTGGCCGCCTTCTTAGGCTTTATATCATCTATCAACAATAGAACATAGTTTTATTCTATTTATATTTTAATGTCTTATTCTTCTCCTCTTCAGTCCCAAATTGTAAGCATCCATGAGGGCAACAACTTGATTAGTTGTTTGGTCCAGGGCCCAGAATTCCTTGAATGTAGCTGGGGTTTAATAAATATGTGAATCAATTAATACATACATGACGATAGGGTTCAGGCGGAGAGGATTGAAACTTTGTATCTGGAGACTCTGAGGTCACCAGGAAATCCAGTCACCCGTATGTGTCTAGAGTGAGACTCACAGCACGTATAAAAGCTCAGAATGGACAGAGAAGAACAAGAGGAAGCCGTGGTTCCCAGTGCCCTGGCAGCTACCTACAGAAGACCAGCATGGTACAGCCTGAGCCAGCCTGGGCTCTGCGTGAACTATTAGCCCATATTCCTTTCAGCAGGCAGAGAGAGGAAGCATATCTCCTGAGAGCAAATGAGGTGAGAATTAAAAAGGCTGACGATGAGCTATAAATTAAACTATTGGCATCCTCCTTGGTTTATACTTCAATAAAGAAAGGATGTGAGGGGGCTGGGGATTTAGCTCAGCGGCATAGCACCTGCCTGGCAAGTGCAAGGTCATGAGTTCAATTCCTGGTACTGGAAAAAAAAAAAAAAAAAAAAGAAAGGTTGTGAGGCTGGAGCTAAAAGATTTCAAGTAATCTGAAAATTTTATTCCAATTCTGGATTTATCTCAGAAATGCTTTTCTAGTACAGAAATGCTTTTCTAGAGAGACTATGTGCACCTAAAATCATCTTCTCTTCTAAACCCCAACCTAGAATATATAATTTTGACAAATATAAATTTACTTTTGGGAAAACAAGGACAAGGTCTAAAAATTGGCCCAGGCATTAAAAATGTAGGCTATGTGTTCACAGTATATATGTCTCTGAAAGAAAATTAAAATATTAACTGGATGACTGGCCAGAGAACAGAGCGGGTAGTGAGTGGGGAAGGCTGGCAGGGGCCTCAGGTGAATCAGCCTTGCTGTTTAGTTTGTGCTGATGAGGGTGAAGGGTTCCAGTCTGGGCACATAACATAGCACATATTCACCCCCTCAGAGACATCTTTATAGAAATGTAGAATAGAATCAGGTCTACAAAAGGAGCCTCCTTTCCATCCCGCTGACCATATGTAGCTTATCACCATGCAAATGGCAATTCACTGGTCCCAACCAGTGTTATGGATATGACACCTGCAGATAGAGCAGACATGCACTTTTCAAGCTCAATATGTATGTTTTTCATCACATTCTGTCTCCCACCTTCACTGACTTTGTGCATCTGAGGTTCTGAGTGCAAGGCTGTGATTTTTTTTCTAATGTCTTTCCTTCTCAAGGCAGAAGGCAATGAACGCATTTAGAGATTAGAAGTTTGAGGCTAGTACACACTCTACAATTTTTTTTAGAAAGGAATGATCAAATTCTAACTTCAATAAAACAAAGAAATGAATGTTCATTTAAATTCAAAATGTCAGCATGAGGAGCCCAAATTCTTTATTTTATCTCTGCAGACCTAGGCACGGGGACCACACACAGCTCCTCAGGGCAACACAAAGTTGCAAGAAAAACTGGGACTGAAACCCAGGCATTCTACCTAGGAGAGCTCTTCCACCTCACCAGTTCTCAGTGTCCTGAGCTTTACTATTGGAATCATTTTATAGACAAAACAAAGCACAATGAAACAAATTACCCTGTGATAGAACAAATATTTTAAGGATCTTTCACTGTGACCATTTCAAAACATAGCAGAAACGTTTCTTTTAGAACTGCAAGCACAGGGAAAGTAACCATTAACCACACTTCCTCAAGTCTGTCTGTCTCACCCTGTCCAGGGTTGACTATGAGTTTTAAAGGGCAGTGGGAGAGGAGCAAAGTGTGTGTTGCAGGGTCAGGGATTTTTCCTCACGGTGGTATTCAGTGTTCTTGCTCTGTGTTTGTGGCATCAGAACACAGCTGTGACCTTGTGGAGACAATATATCAATCCGGCATTGCTAGAATAGTGTTTCTCCTAATTTGTACAGAATATATAATTCAATCTTTTTCTGAAAAATCTTCCCATTACTTCATTAGTTTTAGAAAGAGCCCTACTGGGCCTCACGGAGGTCAGTTTGTGAACCTTGAGAAGCCACACTTTGTGCTCACACAGCAATTCTTACACATCTTCTCATCTCAAGTCATGAGACTGAATCTAAAAAACGTAACACATATAAATGGTTCATATCCAGTCTCCTCTTTGTCAGTGGTAACAAAATATGTTCCTGCGGTTCTTTAGGAAAAAGAGACACTTGTTATTAACAAGGTGAACTTGCATTAAGAGGCGATATGCCGAACCTAGAAGGCTGTTTCTTCAAACTAAGGGCTATGCCTGCTCAAGATGGAATTCACTACACTTGACACACCAGACTAACACTACTAAGGACATGCTGATATTAACTAGTTACTATGTATTAAGAGCATCAATTATATTTCATTGCATTTTAAAAATAACTATTTGAAGACTAAAATTACTTTCCCTGTATTATATACAAGGACAAAATGAAATTTAAGAAGATGAAGTAATTGTGTGTGTGTGTGTGTGTGTGTGTGTGTGTGTGTGTGTGCACCCCTGGGGACTGAACCCAGGGACCACAGAGCTACATCCTCACCCCTTTTTAATTTTTGAGACAAAGTCTTGCTAAGCCACCCAGTCTGGCATTCAGCTTGCCTCAGACAGGAGATAGCTGGGATTTCGGGCTTATGCTACTCCACCCAGCTGAGATAAATTAACTTCATAATCGGGCCACAATGAAGGTGGGCTCCCAGATAAGTCTACCCCAGCACCCACATGATAAACCCTCTTTGTGCTTTCATTCTCAAAAAATATTTGAGAAGGTGATAAAAAAAAGAGGGGGAGGGGGCTGTGTTGCTTAGACTTCTGACCACATGCTGGTAACTTTTTCAATTAATAATAAAAACTAATTTACAACTAATGTGAAGCTGAGGAGACAGAGTGATGGCAAAGACTCTCTTGTGCATGTCAGCTCACCACCTAGAGGCTCGGCCCCAAGTCACCACACAGATATCACACCACACCACACGGTACCTCAGTGTCACCATCGACGTCGCCATGACCTCCTCAGTGTCCTTGCTGCGTCCTCACTCATTTCTGTCCTCAGACTTTATCTTCTGTCTCGCAAGAACGCACATACACACAGAGACACATACCAGCATTTATGTATTCTTGGGATGTCATTTATGTACGGCTGGGAGAAAACTCACAAGAGCGGATAATTTTGACTGAGGTTGCCCACAAGCTATTTTCGTTAGAGGTGAATAAAATCAGAAGTTACAGATAAGAGGCAGCAGGGAGATTTCACCTCTTAGAAGCAAGGGAATGGAGAGCAACCTGTGCAAAAACTTCCCAGTGAAACACCCACGATTTACTTGGGAATTATCAGGATGTATCAAGAATATATCAAGGGTTCTCAGAATTGCCTTTCCATGAGAGTCATTCTTCGCTGCCACCAGTGAGGATGCCCATAAATATGAGAACTAAATTAAATTTAAAATAGGTCTTGTATCTCCTTAATTCTGTCTCCCATGGCCTCTGGCCTTCCATTTTTTGAAGAAACTGAGTAAAGTATTTCAGTGTTGTACAAATTTAAAAAAGTTTGGCAGCATTAAGTGAAAGGGGAAGATGGTGTGATCTTTCCATAATTCCTGGAAAGACACAATATGGTGAAAGAGACACAGTCCCAAGAAACATTTCACATCGTCACACAGACACACCAGTGCAAAATTAAAATTTCCACCTAAGAATTCAAGAATTGTACTACCTTGCCCCAAAATGGCAAGAATCCGATTACCACAAGGATGGATAGTTACCCATGGCGAAGAACGGGATTCCCAGCAGGGTGGAGTTGTACTTCCCATCCGTGATGAAGAAGATCCCTGCAGCCGTGACGAGGGAGATGCACACAGTGAGCACCCCCAGCAGGCCCAGGAAGGGCTTGCTGCGCAAACAGTCCTTCATGGAGCTGGAGAGTGTGGCTGTGGTCAGGATCAGCACAAGGCTCACCAGCACCTTGCTCCTGGCAAGGATGCTGGTCTTATGGAAGTCTCTCCAGAGGCTGAAGGATGCGAGAGGGTAGAGCTGGAGGTCTTGGTGCTCCTCCTGGAGCTTCCCCACGAGCTTACAGAACTCATTTTCCCACTTCTCCCCTATGAGGTCTTGGGTGGCAGAGCCGTAGGTCTGGAGGTAGTAGGTGATTTGAATGGCTCTGGCAGACTTGACCCGCTGGTCCTTGCTGTTGGGTACTTCCACTACCCCGCCCAGCTGATGTCCAATAAAACTGTTCCTCCCATCCTTGAAAACATGAAAAGGGGAGACTTAAGTTACCAGAAGAAAGAACATCCCAGGGAACAGTGTCTTACTCTAAGGAAAGGAGCACAAAAAAGGCAAAGACGGATGCTAGAAACTCAGAAGTGATGTAGGTGGAGAGGTAAATCAGGAGTTCATAAATTCAATCTGGCGGAGCAACGTGGGCCACCATGCATGATAATCTGGGTTAGAAAAAACACGAAAAGTACTACAGAACTACACAAGACTCACCACATGCACAGGAAAATGTTCATAAATATTATTTTATGTTCCCCGAACACCCTCATGCAACCATTTCCTTCTGTGACAACCTATTATGGCTCCTTCAGGCAGGTCAAGCTGGTGATTCAGTTTTAGCCAAAAGGGAAGCATGATGTGACCTAACAGTACTTCAAAAATTAAAATAATTAAACAATTATCTTTTCTATAGATGTATGCTAAACTTTCTGGGACCCATACACCCCTACACCAGCATACACACAAATGAACTCAAATATGAATATCCTTCCTTCTTTGTATTTGGTGATATAATAGCACAGTGTAGAACAGTAAAAAAAATATTATTCCTTACAATTCATTTACTTATATTGAAATGCTTACAAAATATACATGGGCTGGTTAAATAGCAGGTGAAGTTTTAAATTAAAAAAACTTGGGGCTGAGGATTTAGCTCAGCGGCACAGCGCCTGCCTGGCAAGTGCGAGGTTTTGAGTTCGATTCCTGATACCAGAAAACAAACAAACAAAAAAAAACCAAAAAAAAAAATTATTACATTAAAAGACACATCACCATTTATCCCCCTCAAAACATTCTTCCTCACTTCACATGCTCTTATCCCATCATTCTTGTCACTTTTGGAAACAGCTCTGGAAGTCCTCTTTCATGAGTGTCTTTAAGATGTGTGGTCAAAAATATGGTAAATTCTGTTGCCGAGTTCCATCCATGGAAAGATATGCTTGAGGAAACACTGTGATGTGTTGTCATCCACTTTATTCATTTGTGTGACTTCTGACCCTTCCTCAAAGTCAAAACAACCATGAAAGGTCAATTTAGAACACGAAGGCAGCCATGGCAGCAATAAAAAAACGCAGGAAAGAGGACTTCCAGAACTGCTTCAGAAAGTGCCAAGAACAATGTGAGAAGTTGTTTGAGGTGAGGAGATTGATAGACTATGTCTTTGACTATAATATTTTTTTTAAAAAAATTAATCATTCACCATGTTTCTCAAATATGCCGTGTAATGTGAGCACTGGTTGACTCATTAATGTCTTCCTGCAAACACCTGCCTCAGATGCAGGTTGATCTCTCCCTACATGACAGTGGCAGTGCTCCCAAGAGACTGGTGACCTAGTTTTGGATGTGGTTGCTAAAAGTCATCTCAGCCCCACAGTGTGACATGAAGTAGGCGAGTGTGCAAGAGTGGGAGCCCAACAAGAGAGGCAATCCCTCTTCAGTAAGGCATCCCAGGGTGCACAGCGCAACAGATCTAGGCTCAGAAAAGCAGTCCTTGCCCGGCGTGCCTCACCACTCAGAAAGAAGCTGACAACTGTCACCAAATTTTAATCAATTTGGAAATTTAATTTTTGCCCCAATTGTCATATACTTCAATGGCAGCAGTTGTCAGAATGTTGGAGCCAGGAGCAGGACGTAAAATGAAGAATAACCCTGATAATACAGGTGTTGGGTGGGGAGCAGGCACATGGGTGAGTTTACGTCATGAGTAGACTGCATATGAGCAGAATTGGGCAAGACGTTCACCTCACAAGTTTCTCGGAAAGCAGAGCCAGGGTAGGAAACAGCTCTTTCTGGACAGAGCAGTGGACAGGGGTGATGAACCCATAACCGTGGAAAGTTTCATGAGACCATCAGGAATCAGGTAAGTAGGAAGTGATTGTAGGCTTGCTTAATCCAGACACCTAAGTCTGAGATATTTATATTTGTATTCTTTTTTAAAAAGCAACTTCACTGGGGATATGTTTGTATTCTTGATATGCACCAAAGCATCCTAATATTTGGGAGTGTGTTGCAAATACCTAAAGGTTTAAAGTTTACTGAGAGGGCAAATGCCGTTAGTAGCATCATCAAGACTTGCAAAAACAGAAATTTCACACCCTAATACTCATTTCTCCCTAGATGTTAGATAATTGCATTCTAATTAACTCAGCCTAATTCCCAATGAACTATATATATATATATATATATATATATATTT